ATGAGCAGAGAGGCATCAATAAGGTATCCCAAAAGCAAGTGATAATGACAGCCCTTGTTATCTTACTGCCATGGCTTAGCCACATGGCATACCCCGTATGCCTGGTAGTAGGTAGTACCATGTGGGGTAACGGGCAGATCAAATGGTCTCCTAGCGATGCGTTGTTGAGATCTTGCGGGGTAAGGTTTCGGGGAGCATGGTCGAAGCTGGGCAGCATGGCTTAGCTAGCGGATGCGATACGGACTCCGGACACAGAACTTAGAGGTCGAGCATACACACAATGAGTGAAGTCACTCTCGAGTGCGTGACCGGCCTGGATTTATACTAGCAAATGGGTTGTGGGGTGCGAAGACGACATAAATTTACCTGCCTGCAGCTATTTGCAAAAAAGATCAACCTGAACCTCGATCCAGCAAGAATTGTTACATCTCATGTGGCTTTCTTTCGGAAGTTCTTCCAGGTAAGTGTTTCAGTATAGAGCCTAGGTCATCTGTACCTTTTCAAATGTGTTGACTTTGCCGGCCAAAGACTTAGGTACTAAACTCCAGCCGCCACTGAAAACTCAAGTGTTAGTGTCTTTGGTACTGCCCATTCGAACAATTTCCCATGGAGAATAGGAGCTTTAACCTTATACGTAGCCTTGGCAGCTACTTTGGACAGCTATTACGCAACACCATTCACCATCATTTCTTTTCCTACTTCAAGCTGTCCGAGACGCGGATCAGGCATTCGCAAATCACAATGGATCGAAGTAACTCGGCTTTCACTCTCACACCATGGATCTCTGTTCTCCTCCTCTTCCTCGTCATCCTCATTTGGGCCTCAGTAGATTTTATCACAGAGACATTCTCGTCTCTTCGGAAGCTGCCTGGTCCATTCGAGGCTCGCTTCTCAAGACTCTGGTATTTTCGACATGTGAGAGACGGAAACTTTCATCATCGCAATATTCAGCTCCATGAGAAATACGGTATGTGATCTTTATTCCCGGGTGTGACTATTAGAGCCTTTTGCTTACAAGATGATTCGCCTGACAGGAGCCATAGTGCGGATTGCTCCTAAGCAGTATAGTATCAATGACCCGGCCGTAATCAAGACGATTTATGGTATTGGAAAGGGCTTTATCAAGGCACGTATCATCGAGACCATGGAGTGATTTTGCCTTACTGACATAATTCGCTTCTTAGTCCGCATGGTACGAGGCCTCAAGTCCAGTCGGTCTTCCCTGGCAAGACCTCTTCACGGATCGAGATGGTGCACGTCATGCTGCAAATCGGCGTCTCGTGGCGAACCTTTACTCTGTCACCTCTCTTAGAGCAATGGAGCCCGATGTCGAAGACTGTTTGAGAGTCTTTGTGAAGCAACTTGGAGACTTGAGTCAGACTCAAAATCCCATCGACCTTCAGTTTTGGATGCAGTGTTATGCATTCGATGTTGTCAGTCAAATCACAGTAAGTCTCTCCGTAAACTTGTCTCATTCGTAGTCCTGTCACACATACTCACCCACTCCATATAGCTTGGACAAAGATTTGGATGCCTTGATACAGGAAGCGATCGACTGGGAATCTTCGCTAGTCAACACGTTTACCTCAAGTACTGCGCTATGGTGGGAATAGAACACGAGCTACATGGAACCCTCGACTGGATACTGTCCAAACTCCCACCAGGACAGCTGATGAATGGGGTCAACTTCACCGCCGAGCAGCTGAAAAAGGGCAGAGTCCGGTTTGACATGGAAAAGGGGAGCCCAGACAGGCAAGACTTCATGTCCAAGCTCTTCCGTCTACACCACGAAAATCCCGGAAAGTTCCCAGAAAGCGCGGTCTTTACGACCTGTATGACCAACATTGGAGCTGGCTCTGACACAACTTCGATATCACTGTGCGCTGTTATCTATGACCTTGCGTCCCACCCCAGGGTGCTTCAGAGGGTACCTGACCGACTCTTTATGAGCGGAGAGATACTCTCCGCCTAGCTTGAATGATCTTTCTAATAATCATCACAGCTTCGGGAAGATATCGACGCCAAATTCGCAGAGCTAGACAACCCTGAGTTCATGCCTTTCAAAGACGCCCAAGCTATGAGCTATCTCCAGGCTTGCATCAAGGAGTCACTCAGACTACATCCAGCAACAGGTCTTCCGCTAGCCCGTGTTGTCCCTAAAGGTGGCGTGAATCTTCTTGGCAGAGACTTCAACGAGGGTGTAAGTCCCATTACCACAGCCTTGATGGGCCAAGTTGGTAGATATAACTGACCGAAATGACTGTAGTGCGTTGTAGGCGTGAATACTTGGGTCTTGCACCGGAATAAGGATGTTTTCGGTGCTGATGCCGATGAATACCGCCCTGACAGGTGGTTTAGTCAGGACAAAGAACACATTTCTCTCATGGAATCGAACTGGATACCGGTGAGTCGAATTTTCGCTGAATTTCCCCGGGTCATTACTGATCGATCGTCTCTAGTTCGGGGTAGGTTCTCGTACCTGCATTGGGAAAAACATCAGCTTGCTGGAAATCAACAAGCTTGTGCCCACCTTGGTCAAGACCTTTGACTTCACACCCGTGGAGCCGGAAAGAATCCGGCATGAGAACTACTGGTTGGTTAAACAGGTCGATATGTTATGCAAAGTTTCACCGAGAAGTCCCTAGTAAGGCACATGTAGTTTTTGTGAGGGGCTTCTCATGGGCAAAGAGGACATATATCCACATAGGGCTCAGAGAAAGGAGTTGAACATCAGGCAAGTCATTATATTTTTCTATTTCCTAACTGGTCAGAATATCAACGCCCACTGTGAATCTTGCTGAAATGTCTTGAGTGTGCCTGGTAATTGATTTTGAATTTTCGGTTCATTTTCCTGATAATGCTACAATAGTAGTACAATGATTGCAAAGAAAATCGCAGAAAAGAGCATCCATTGATCTCCAAGAGGTCTGCCATTCCCCCCACTCCCAACACGCTCAATGAGCTTATTCCCAAGATCTGAGATGCTGCTTTGGAAGTCCTCGTAATTTGACGCAGTCCAGTTTGCCCCGCTTGCTCCAGGGACAGCGTCATCACCCGTGAAGGCAATATATAGGACATCATTGTCATCATGTCCTGAGTTGCCATTGATACTATTGCCGTAGCACGCAGTGGCGAGTGATATGGAAGCCTCACCTACCATGGCTTGAGGGCCATCGTCACCATTTGTATCTCCCCAGATTCCGTACAGCTACATAAAATGGGTTAGACTAGGATCTTAAGCAAAATAGAAGTAGTCCTACCAATTTGTCATTGCACACGACAGCGATTACGCTGAGTGGTTTGACGCCATGCTTTTCTGGGTTGAACGTAGGCCAGCCGCTTTTAGTACCTTCATTCCCGAATACAACATAGGTGTGTACCGAGGCGTTGAGGTCTCGTCGCCCAGTCCCATAACTCCTCAGCTGGTCGCGGAATGTCGTCTCAGATTGAGTGTCGGTGGAGCTGCCGCAACGTCCGTCGCCTCCGGCTCGCTCGCCATCGCAGTCCACGTCCATGTTGGCCAACTCGCCATTTTTTCCTTGGAGATATATGATTTTATAATCATCCAGGTAATCTCCGCAGTAGCTGAAGTCTAGTGGATGCATTTTGTGAGCATCTTCGGAGCATTAGCCGGTGAGAGGATGAAGCACGTACCTCCGCTGTCACCCTCACTGCTGTGAAACCCGCTTGCTAACGTATGGTGGCACTTGTTACGCCCGCGGACGAACCCATAGAAGTCTTTCACATTGCTCGGAATATCGCGTGTCAACGCTTGTGTCGCTAGAAACATGAAAAGAAGGAAGACGCCGCCTAATGAGACCATGATGACTTTAATGATGGCCGCCGATGAGCCTGAAGAGAAATGGATGAGGTGAGACGGGATGCTCGGGTCGGGGCAGGGAATCGTGAGCAACGAGTCGCGCTTTGGTCTCCACGTGATCCACGGAGTCCTGCAGCGCCATTCAAAGCACTAGTTGTGCACAGCCCTCATTTTAGACGCTCTGAAATGGACACGAGCACGCCGGGGGCTCTTGGCCAAGTCTCAAGCGCCTTGACCGGGGCTGAGAGAAGCAATGATGGGATGACGCACGATTGACAGCCACGCATCAACACTCTGTTGAAAATTGAAGGATTCATGGTTCTCAGCCATGTCTGGTCTATGTGAGACAGGCGTTCAGCCACCCATGGAAATGAGGGGCAATGTGACTGAGACCTAAAATCCGGCCCGCTCCGGATGGCTTTCTGTCATTGTTCAACTCAGGCCCAACTTAATCAGAGCGCTGACGGTGGAGAAAGACAGCGTTTATTTAAGCCTAAAATTAAGGTGCCCCAATGCCTCAAATGGTCTAGTGTCGTCAATGAGAGCTTGTCAACAGCGTTCATCAGTAACTCGCCGTATGATGAACTGCCGATAAGTGAAATACCGACACGACAGATCAGGTCAACTAACCCCGACTCATTTTCGGTGGCGAGACAGTTCAAGATCGTATGCAGACACAGAATGTCACATCCTTTGAGTCGATAGGAGTGGAAGAAAGCTTAGAGGGGAGAGAAGACGCATGATTTGATCTACGATCTATGGATCTTCCAGGACTCTTTACCTCTGTCGCTCTGCTTCGTATTTCTAATTCATGAGCGCAGCCAGCCCGTCCTGATTTCATGCAAGCGACTGGGCAAACAGATGATTTGCGCATATGATCCACCTCAGTGCAGCCACGTCTCTTCGAAATTGAATCCGTGTTGGTGCACTTTGCCGCTGCCTAGTGCATCTTATCCCTAGATGCTGTTGGAGCATATCTCATGCTTATTGTAACCAACGTCACATATCAACACGCAAATTGATTCCCTGCAAGATGCCACAGGCCTGCATTATTATGTTTGGCCAAGAAGAGGGGTAATTTGCGCGTGCCACCTACAGACATAAATGAGAGAGCCCCGTTCGTGTTGCCTCGAAGAGTATTGTTCCCTTGTGATTACAGAGCGTTCCATCTTCATCCACGATGACTGACATTCACAAAGCCTCTGGAGCCGAGAACTCTGTGGCTTCGCCAATTGTAGCATCTGCCGACAATCCTGAGCCCACGGGGGACTCCAGCTCCGCCCCGGCACCCAATCATGGCCCTATTCTGGAGGCAGATGCAGAGAATAACAACGTGAGAGATGGCAAAAGACTCATGTTGTCTTTCAAGATATACTGACACCTCCGCATAGTTGACAGAAGATGATGCCTCGGACAGAGCGTCAGTAAGCAAACGACCCAAGCTAAAGTATCCTCATGTGCTCTTTGGTTCAATCTCCTGACCTACCTCAGAGTGTGGCATCTTCAAGCACGAGCTTATCGAGCTCGATCCTTCAACATCGCTTAGAAAACGGGAGAACTTATCATAAGTACAAGGATGGGAGTGAGTTTCTTCCGGGCCCCTATTGTGAATAATCCAGCGTCTAACACAATGAAGAATATCTCTTTCCAAACGACGAAAGAGAGAATGACAGGCTTGGTATGTGATTTGTTGGCCAGACATTACGGCTCCCTTGCTTACATCACCTTCTTAGACCTACAACATAACCTCTACCTATTGACTTTGGATTACAAGCTGGGCCTCGCTCCCCCCAACAAAGAAGGTTCGGGAGTCAGGCGCGCCTTGGACATCGGAACAGGCACTGGTCTCTGGGCAATAGAATTTGCCGATGAGCACCCCGAAGCCGAGGTAGGTTGATTCATGACACCGTAGAACTGAAGATTGACTCGTTTGCAGGTTTTAGGTGTTGATCTGTCCCCCGTGCAGACTCAATTGTAAGCTTCTATGGTTGTCTGGCTTATTTACATTCACTAACGTGCTTTAGCGTCCCACCGAACCTGAAATTTGAGGTTGACGACATTGAGCAGCCATGGACATTCAGCCACCCATTTGATTACATCCACATTCGAGGGATGACATCGAGCATCTCAGACTGGCTGGGATTCTTTAAACAAGCTTACTCGTCAGTTACTGATCCAATGTGGGCTTCAACATGATCTAACCTAGCACAGTAACCTTACCCCTGGTGGCTATATCGAATTATTCGAGGGCCATGCCCGTACCCAGTCGGACGATGGGACTTTGACACCAGATCACGCTGCTTGGCAGTGGGCGGATAAGCTCGATGAATGCTTCAAAATACTTGGCCGTCCATTCGTGAACGTCCCCAGCCTTGTTCCTATACTGGAGGAGGCTGGTTTCCTTGATGTGACTATTGTGCCTTTCAAGTGGCCGGTTGGTCCATGGGCAAAAGACCCGCATTACAAAGAGCTTGGAGAATGGGCTCTCGAGAACTCTTCTCAGGGTCTCGAAGCCTGGACTATGGCAGCATTGACCAGAGCGCTGGACTGGAGCAACGCAGAGGTCCAAGCCTTACTTGCTCAGGTGCGGAAGGATCTGAAAGACAGGAGCATCTATCATTACACGCCTATGTAAGTCAGCTTTCGGAATCCTTTTAGCTCTGCTTCAATCAATAGCTAGTTTTTTACTTTTCGGATTGGGCTTGATCTGGTCTCTGAATATATCTTCAATACTAACCATGGCTAGGTGGGTGATTTACGCGAAGAGGCCTCAGGACGAAGCCTAAGTATCAGTTAGGACCAAATATCTAAACAATATCCAGGATCGAGATGCTTGAGCGACAAACTGAAGTCTCTGTAGTAATCAATCACGTGTATGTACGACTTTGTGGAAGAAGTCAACATCCCGTAACATTAAAGATCTCGAGTCCTTGTTTCCTCTCCGACTATGTAGCGGGACCACTCCCTCATGGTATCATCAATGATAATCGCTATGTGAAATGATAAACAAACACGCTGGGCCCCAAATATTCTTAATGTCGAAGTGGATAGCCGGCGGGAATGGCAATTTGACTCTTACTAGTAGGTACTCTAATGAATGGGGTGGACTGTGATATGGCCAATCGCTGCCGCGCCTGGCTCTCGAATCATCACCATTAATCCTCCATGTCGTAATCAGGCTACCAATCATGTTCCAGTGATATATTCAACCTACAGGCCAACAGCCCAGCCAATAAAGTGAAGCTGCACATGCAAGTCTCGGAGCACAGCATGAGCAAGACGCAACCCATGGACTTGCAGGTGGATTTGGCAGCTGAGCACATAGCATTTAAAGATAGAGCCTGATCCAAAGTCGACGAGAGCCTTACGCCCCCTTATTTCCTTGTCTCGCTCTCTAATCTGATGTGCTCCTATTCCTATGGTCCCTTCGACATCTTGTTGACCCTACCTTACTGTCATGTAGACCTCGAAGGCGTATGCAAGGCATGAGCACTCCGTTAGATCAGCAACTATGACTGAATTCAATGCAACTTCAGTGGAGTGTGCAACCGTCTGCTTCTTACCTTATTGATCGCCGTTTCTTCAGCTAACCAAATTTGTCGCAGAATTGCACTAGTTGCGCAGCCAGCCGCTGGGCTTGTGAATCGAAGAGAAACACCCAATGAGTCACCCACGACGACCGCAATATTACCTGAAACACCTCCGAACGAGAGCGTAGATGAAAGAAACCGACGCGACAATGATCCCGTAACCCTAGAAGAAAGAGCCGAGAGTTTTCAAGCCCAGCAGTTTGCCGACAGAAACACCTTGTCAGGGTGGTTTCCTCAGATAGAAAGCGACGAAAACAGCAGTTGGCGCATATGGTTTTCACGAAGAAGCCGTGCTCTCATGGTCCAGATTGGGATTATCGGTTTCATACTGATGACGAATCTCGGTGTGACTATTTTTGCTGTCAAAAGCTACGGAAGCCGCCATGGTGTCGGGTTGATATACGAGGGCGACTGCTCAACCGTGAAGAGGCTTGACCAATGGTTGCATTTGCTCATCAACTTATTGGGAACAGGCATGCTATCGGCTTCAAATTATTGCATGCAACTGCAGGCTGCGCCAACACGCGAGAACGTGAATGCTGCTCATGCGAAAGACAAATGGCTGGACATTGGCATTCCTAGCCTTCGAAACCTAAAATATCTCAGCATGTGGAGGCGGTGTTCGTGGGCATTGTTGGCGTTGACCTCGATTCCTATTCATCTCATGTAAGAATGCTCCAGTCCCTTTGCTTTTCGAGACACTCAGTCATCCACTCACACCAGCAACGTGAAGATACAACTCGGCTGTGTTCCAGTCACTTTCATCTCACAATTACACTGTTGTCGTTGTCAAAGATTCCTTTTTGAACAATGCTTCATGGAGCTTGAAGACAGCAGAAGACAATCGAGCTGGCGACTACGGCTGGGAAGACACCCGAGTCAACCCCTCAAATTTAGACTACGAAGAAGTAGTAAAAGCAATACAGAGGAATGCATCCATCTACGATGAACGCAACATATCAGCTTGTTTCGACTTGTATGACGACTACTTTAATCCCCAAGGAAACGCGATCATTCTGGTCAAGAATGAAACTTTACAGAGCCCGCCAGAGGATAGTCTGCTCTTGTATGTTTCCATTGTCCCTCGCTCAGACGACTGGTCCAAGAACATGTGGGCTCTAGGTAATGGCACTGGTCACTTTGCGGCTTTGTCACCACCAAAGCCCGTAACCAAATGGTTCCTTGGGCCTCCATACTACGAGGTGTCACGATGTATCGTTCAGCCGCCAGAAGGGCTCAGCGCAAATTGTCGATTTGAATATTCACCTCCCATCATGTTCACTATTTGCATCATGAACATGATCAAAGCGGCCATCATGCTGTCAATATGGGCCATGAGGAGATGGCAGAATCCCAGAAAGGAAAATCAGGCGAAGGAGGTCTTATACACCTTGGGCGATGCCATAGCCTCTTTCATGCGGGAACCATGCGAGCAAACTATCGATATGGGACTTGCTACAAAGTACGATTTTTTGACTACCCGAACGTTGCGCAACCGTTTTATTAGATCTTCTCCAACGATACTCCGAGTAAGACCTCAGCCGCGGGTTTTTGAAAAGAACCCAAAGCAGTGGAGATCCTCTGCAAGCCTCAGACGTTGGGTTATCATGCTGGCCATGTAGGAACACTGACTTTTTGCTTTCTGATACTGAATTCACTGACTTACTTTTCCTCAGGTGTCTTCTTGTAATCATAATTGCAGCTGTACTTTTGACGATGTCGTTCGTAAGCCTGAGACAAAGAGGGTTTGGTGTAAGGATACCACAGTTGTGGAAGCTAGGCTTTGGAGCCTTGACGCCTTACACCTACTTGGTGATTAATATGCCTCGTACGGACCCAGGAGGGTTGATAGCTAATGTGCTATTGGCCAACTTGCCTCAACTCGTCCTGTCGATCTTGTACATCGTCTACAATACTATGCTGAGCACCTTTTTAGTCCAAAGGGAGTTCAGTCGCATGTGGGATCCGGGCAATAGGAAGCCGCTGAGAGTTTCCGAACCAATAGGGATCCAACGATCGAGTTATTTCATTTCCCTGCCCTTGAGATATGGCATTCCGCTTTATGCTAGCTCGGGCATCATGCATTGGCTGGTGTCACAGAGCCTTTTCTTGGCACGAATTCGAGCCATAACCACAGACGGGAGTGACGATGATGTCAACTCTTTCTCGACATGTGGCTATAGTCCTATAGCTGTGTTTGTCAGTAAGTCGACCTCCATTGCCATTCATCACTCTCGAATGTGCCTGTGGTTTCTGACCTAGAGGCTTAGCATTGCTTGCGGGGCTCCTTCTCGTCATCATTATCATCGGTATGGGGCTGCGACGCTATGATGGCACAATGCCAATGGTGTCGACCAATAGTCTGGCAATAAGTGCTGCTTGTCATGTCCTGCGGGAAGACCAGGATGGCGGCTATCTGCTACCTGTTCAGTGGGGAGTTCTCAGTATGACTGGGGGCGTTGGGAAGTGTGCTTTCACTACAGCGGCGGTCAACACGGTCAAGCTCCCAGAGAACGGCCCAGATCGAGTCTACAAGTGATGGTGTGAGGGTCTTGAGGGCCCTGACTGATCAACTAATAAGCCCCGAATGCGAAGTCAGGGCCCAGGCCTTGAACCCAAATCAAGCTTGTTCTCAATGGGCTGGACTTCACATAATGTAATTTCAAGCTTTGATCAACACCACACTGCCTGAATTTCGCACCATTAAGTTCAGCGTGGGCGAACTGTGGTTCAGGCCAGGGGCAAAAAAAACAGCATTGCATATCCAACCCAAAGTCACTACTCAATCCCCATGTCGGAAAGCTGCAAACGTAACCTAGAGTGTAACCAAACTAATACGGAGCATTTCATGAGACAGTTGGCGCATTCAGGGGCTCTAAAGGAGATTGATGATCATACGTCGGGATTCCTCACTCAGGCCAGCTACCAATGGCTGGCGTGTACATCTTGGACGACGTGTAAGTGATGTCGTCGGATGATCTCAAACTGCCATACTCGGAGACAAGTTGGGTGAATCATCAACCTACGGGATTCTGCATTCGGTCCGTGCTTAGTTGTTCAGTCATATCCATGCCCACCGCATTGCAAGGCGGAGTCTACCTTCAAGTAGCTCTGCTGACACATCGACACTCAGCACAACGAGACTTTATCTGATGAATGGACGAATTTCTCAACAGATGAGGTCCCGCATGAAATATCTGGCAAACTTTCTCCGATGGGATCGCGAAAGTTTGGACCGGTGGCGTGCTCACGTGCTTAAATCCTGAGCTGCAAACTCCACACGAGCCGAACGCGATGACCAAAGGATCATGACCTCAGCGTGAACTATCGAGGCCTGGATCTCGTGTGGGGCTTTGATGCTGTACGAGCACGAGGGCTGGAAAACTCACATGGTGAGGTTGAGCAACAGGGCCTCCCGTGGTATTCACCGACATGTGCCCAGCTCGTAGGATGCCATCCAGCCGCAACGGGGCTGGGCTGGCATAGTTGGTCGCGACCTCATTCTTCCTACATTGCCGCCTCATGCTGCTCGGTCTCGCTTCCTTCCTCTACTGCACTGCCTCGGATGATGAGTCCGACATGAACCTCAATCTCGGTGTCGAGTGTAGTCTCTCATACGGAAATGGATTCTGGAGTGCTGGTAGCGCTTGCTGACAACCGAAAATGCCGGTTGATAGAAAGAGTCTTTCGGGTAGTGCAGATCATGGTGTTGACGTCTGCCAAGTCAACTCAAAGTTGACATTCTTGCCTTTGTTTATAGGTGTGGAGGGGCTCGGTGACATTTTGCAGAGCAGTTCGGAGGTCCGAGCCAACTCAATTAGACTGTGAACAGTTTACGCGGCCACCAGTTGAGCTTCGGGACATGAAACAAGCGGGTAGGAATCACGATGTATGTCGAGTGGAGAGCCATTCAACTACTGTAAATCAAGAAAGTTCATGTGGTTTATGCCGCCTACCTCATGGTGTGACTAAGACCTATCGAAATGATCATCGACTTACGAAGCTGCCGGAGGGCGAACCTGCGGCAAAATTTGGTTCCCTCAATTGGCCTGCTTCAGCCTCTCTTGACGGTAGTAAGCGGTCTACTCCGCATCTAGACCTGATTAATCGGCATGAAACCGAGCTCTAGCTTTCGGATCCTGAAAATTGGATTCCAAGCGACTCATTGCGAGGGGCCTAGCCTACCGAAAGATCATTTGAGCACTGGATGCTTTACTGTAGATAGAGAGCACCATACCATGGATTGGAAGACTTGCTAGCTTTTACAGAGCTTTGAACGTACGAGGTGTTCGTTACTCTTGGGCGGTTCTATGAAAGGCACAAAGGAAGCTTCGGATACTAGATCCCCCTGATTGTCTCTCGGACGTTTGCTTTACGAAGCGCTGTCAACCAAACTGTCTAAAAGCACTGATGCAAATCCTACACTTGGTTCTTGCACCACTGTTCATCTGGATGAAAGCTGATTCCGCGGGTGTCTCACGCCAAGTTTATCAGCGGCTGCAAACTGTGGACGATAACTTGTCTTCCCCTCACATCCGAATGTTCCCCCTACCTTAGATCGGATGGCTGAAGTTGGTGGGCGGCGCTGCTTAGCTATGCACGCAGATAACTCTAATTTTCGGATCTCTTACTCAGAGACTTTTTCTTTGCGTGATTTAAGCCTTTGCATATCATAGTTTCCTTCCATGGATAGCCTTGCGAAGGGGTTGACTTTTGGTACTGAGCGGCTGACTGGATCATCACCACACCTCGCATTGTCGTCCGCATCTCGCGTTGCCGTATTTGCAACTCACAAGGTGCAAGTTATTCCCGAAGCCGAGTTCAGCTGGGCGCAGCTCAGCCGCGGATTACTATGGACAAGAAGTAACTTGGAGACATCGTTCTTATTTTACGCCAACGGCAATTTCATTCATCTCGAGTATAAGTACGCTGTTCTCGATTCACCTTGAGTGTTTATTCTTCATCACATCCTCACCTTTAGTGGATTGACTCAAGCATCACTTCAATAACTCAACTTCGAACCTTCTATTTCATTTTTCAAATCTGCAATTATGCATATCCCGTCTTTCAGCCAAACTGCCATGATTGGCATGGCTTTCTATGCCATCGCTGCTGTAGCTGCACCAGTAGCTCAGCCAATCGCCGAGCCTAGGTTCGAGACAGGTGACCTTATCGAAGTAAGTCTGAAGCTATCCTATTTACTCGTGTTCGGAAAGATTCTGACATTTAGATAGCGTTCTCCTGAGGCAGCTGTAAGTACATGTAATTTCTAGGAGAGCACATCGTCCCACTCGCCTTATATCTTGATTGCTATCCCTTCCGGGCATCATTTTCCCTCATAAGTCACTCACTGACTATTTGCAACAATGATAGCCTGATGTTGATTTACCGGTATGACTCCTTCTCAGGAATCAAAGGACTGCCGTGCTGATATCGTAACCCTCAGACCCTACGCGACGCCATCGTCGCTCGCGATGAACCAAGCGAAGGATCCCAACTCGAAGCACGCGACGACAAGAAACAAAACAATCAAGATCAATACCATAATAACAGCAAATGCAAGCGCGGTAAGGGAGGCGGCAGAGACGAGGGTTGCGACTACGGCGACTACGGAGGCTACGGCGGTGGCAAGGGAGGCGGTGGATACGGCGGTGGCGGCTACGGAGGTGGTGGGTACGGTGGTGGTGGATACGGCAACGGAGGCGGCTATGGCAATGGCGGTGGCTACGGCCACGGCAAAGGCGGCCACGGTCTTCAGGGCTCCGACGAGGCAAAGAGCGATCAGAAGGACAACGACCTCGGCAAGCGAGACGAGGCCGGTCTTCCCGGTGAAGATAAGAACAAGGAGGGTGGAGTTGATATCCTAAACAATAAGGGCGGCGGTGGTGGCTACGGAGGATACGGCGGCGGAAAGGGTGGAGGATACGGTGGCGGCGGGTACGGTGGAGGTGGGTATGGTCACGGGGGCGGCGGCTACGGGGGCGGTGGCTACGACAACGGCGGGTACGGCAACTGCAAGGGTGGATACAAATGCGGCGGAGGGTACGGTGGTGGAGGGTACGGCGGCGGCGGGTACGGCGGTGGAAAGGGAGGCGGATACGGTGGTGGCTATGGTGGCCACGGTCACTAATAGGGAAATGAGAGGGGTCAAGACGATGGCTGAGGTTCATCATCGAAGCTCCTTTGGAATCCCTTTGTCGAGAATGCTTGGGCATCGGCTTTACAAACACTCGGTTTTACTATTCCTGATCACCATGGTCTGGGTTGGAGGAAATTTGGCTACCAGAAAAGCTTCTGTCAGATTATATTCAGTGTATATACTTTAACAAATCTCAGTTCACTTGAATTTCACTCATATCAAATGCCACCTTTGCTCATAGTCTCTAGACATCATTCATTCCTTAGGTTAGTAACAACTAAAGGTTAGACCTAATGCCCTGCTTCTCGGGTTTGGATCCACAGCATGTTGGGACTGTCGAAAGTTGCGTTGCTTGTTCCCCGAAAGCAAGTTGTAGAACTTACTCGACCAAAATCTCCTCCAACTCCGTTGAGATCTCGTCCCATGTCGACTTCAACATCCTGCCCACGCCAGCCCGTTGAACAACCGGAACAGCCTTTGGATCTTGTCCCTTTGTGCCACTACGATATATCAACATCACGTTGACAGCCTCCCAAGGCTTTTGGCTGGCATGGCTCGAGAGCTCCTCTCCCGAGAAGCCGTACGCGTCTGAGAGAACAACAAACTCATAGGGACCTCCCAGCTTCTGCCTATAGCTTTTGGGCATCAGGATAGACCCAAGCCATTCGTCCTCGCCTCCTTCCTTCCGGGCGGCAGACTGCGTGATACCAAAGCGCACAGGGTGTGGTTCCTTGACATCCGGCAGCGAGGGTGGCTTCAGGGCTCCGCTCCTATCGTGAAGAGTGAGCCTGAATTTCCCGACCCTGGTTCGTAGTCGTAAGTAAAAGTCGTGTTTTTCTAACGTCTCTTTTTTGTTCAGCTCAAGAGAGACGCCCCAGCCTGCTGGACGAACCCGATCGAACGGACTCTCGAGGGCAGGCAAGCCGTTCCAGTCGTCAAGGTCGTCAAAGCGAACGGCTCCCGTCCAGCCTGCCCATGACCATGACGGATAGAGAATAAGTGGCGGATCGGACTTGTACTTGACCACCCTGCTGAGTTCCTGTCGCGGCTGCCACAACAGAGAAAAAGCAAGCAAATCTTTCGCCCAGGTACCCCATACAAAGACCCCTTTGTACTCGGGCACTTTTTCGATGACGTTCAAGACACCCTTGAAACCATTGACGCGGTCATCTGTGTGACTCATCTCGCGTGATGTGTACTCCGTGACCATGCGATAGTAGAATTCGGGCGAGATGCCTAGGCGATACTGGTGCCGCCGGGTCAGAGTCGGCGGCGCCTCCCCGCGAGACAAGGTGATATTCTGCTGGGAGGCGCTCTGGGTGACATCGTCGCGAAGCATGTTGAAGTCTTCGCTGCAAGTCATCTGGCCGCACTGGAAGTAGACCATGTTGTCGGTGAAG